CCGGCTTGCCAGCAAGTGCTGTCAGAGGAGGAAGAGGTACCGATACCGCTGCTTTTCCCTCGTTTCTTTTTTGGGGCCTCCTGAGAGGTCCTCGCCGCCACGGCTGGATTCGCCTTGAAATTCTGGTCAGAATGTACCCCGTTAGAGGTCTGAGAGCAGCGGTGTCGGTACCTTTTGGTTTCACCGTGCCCCGCGGAAGTTTCTTCTCCCCCACTTGCTCTGACCTCAGGGAGCTGATGGACTCGACGATTTACGTGCCCTCAGGTTCCTGATCGCAATATATCTTATCGTATGTGTCTACTGTGCTGATTCCTGAAAGAGGTGCTGGCCTCCCTCAGTGGGCATCATCTTCTCTACCGCGGGGAGTCCTGTCTTGCCCCCAGCGAGACGTATCGTATTCTTTCCTGCGGCGGAGACACGATGCTACCTTTTTTGCAATGGTCACTGCAATACTTCATGTGGGAACACACGGCAAGACGCTGCACAACGAATCGTTCTGGGAGGAAAGTCGTTCCTTTGGGGCCATCTTGCGATCTTATCGTGGCGCTCTTCTGTTTCCAAGGGGCCCTCCCGAACCTCTTGGGGCCATCTTGGGGGCCCTCGCGGCCTTGTGAGACCTTCTGGGAGGGTGAGGGGGCCTCTTGGATTGTCTTGGGCCAGCTTGGAACCATATTGGGGCCTTTGGGTTCTGTTGGGGGCTCTTGTGGGCCTCTTGGGCTCTCGTGGACGCCTCTGGGGCCTCTGATGTACTCTTGGTAGCGTCTTGGCGCCATCTTGGGGGATCTTGCGCCTCCCGAGGTCTCGTGGATTTGATAGGTGCCAACTTGGCCGACCCGTGGGGTGTGATACACGAAGGCCGAAGGAGGGCCTGGCCAGCACATGGACGGCAAGCGCCCTCCCCTCGAGAGGGCGCGGGAGATCGCTGGCCCGTCCTGCCTTGTGGCCCTCTTGGGACTCTCTCTGGGGTTTATCTCGGTCCTTTCTGGGGCGCGCTTCTGCCCCCCGGGGCCTTTCCTGGGGCTTCCCGGGGCCCTCGTAGGGTCATGAGGCCTGATTTGGTTGGGGCTGGCCTGCGCGACGCACGGGGGGGTTTGCCAGGTGGCCGCTCCAGATGTGCGGGTAAGATGTGTATCCATGCCCCCTGCGTCTTGGAGCCTCGGGCCCCCTTCCCCAGAAGCCCGAGAGGCGCATTGGACATGTGTAAAGGCCTGGCCCCTTTTGGGGGGGGGCCAGATTTGTAGCCACGTCCACTGCGCCTCGGCCTTGTGGCGCCCCTTCCCAGAGAGTCCAAGACGCAATGGAGATGGGCCCAGACATGCGACGTCTGGATTCTTTCAGCACTGCGTCCCTGGGAGTCCTGGCTCTTTCCCCGGGACGGGTTCTTCGCCCCGAGCCGTCTTTTGACGGTCCCGAGGCCCGGCGAGGGCCCCCCCGGGGCCCAAAGTAGCCCAACGTCGGCCGTCCCTTTTTTTTTTTTTTTTTTTTTCCCCCACATCCTGAGTGGGGTTCTTGTTTTCCCAGAACACCCTCTCCTTCCCACCCACCTCCCGCTCCATCTTCCATACAGCACAATATTATTCCTACCACACACACCATACCATACCATAGTTCCTACCACACATACCATACCAGACCATACCATACCATACCACACCATACGTACCATACCGTACCATACCATACCATGGCGTACCATAGCATACCATACCATATCACACCAATGCCACACCGTACCAGACCATACCATACCTCCAGTACCATACCATACCATATCATACCATACCGTACCATACCATACCTACCATACCATTCCATACCACTCCATACCGAAAAACCCATACTAACTTACATGGTTTCGGCCCCTCCCACACCCTCCAGGGCAGCCCCGCCTGAGCGAGGAAGGTATCGGAAAATCATACTATTTACATGGTTTCGTGCCCCTTCCCCCCCTCCAGGGAGACCCCGGCCTGAGCGAAGGAGCGTATCGTAAAACATTACTATTACATGGTTCGCTGGTGCCTCCACACCTGCAGGAGGCCAGCCCTGAGCGAGGAGGGTATCCGAAAACCATACTATTAACATGGTTTCGTGCCCCTCCCACACATCCAGGGAGGCCCCGCCTGAGCGAGGGGGGTATCCGAAAACCATACTATTTACATGGTTTCGTGCCCCTCCCACCCCTCCAGGGAGGCCCCGCCTGAGCGAGGAGGGTATCCGAAAACCATACTATTTACATGGTTTTCGTGTCCCCCCTCCACTCCTCCAGAGAGGCCGCGCTTGAACGAGGAGGGTATCTAAAACATAATATTTACATGGTTTCTGTTTTAGTGCCCCTCCCACCTTCTCCAGGGAGGCCCCGTCTGAGGCGAGGAGGGTATCGGAAAACCATACTATTTACATTGTTTCGGCCCTTTACACCTCCAGGGAGGCCCGCCTGAGCCCCCGGGAGGGGAAGGGGGGGTACAAAAAATTTTGTTCGGGGGAAAACCCATACTATGTT